TGTACAAATAGTGCCTTTAGTCAATTAAATCAAATTCGGTACTCTTATTGAACATCTAACATCTAATATTTTTTATGTGCTGCGTCCTATAGGTAGTATGCAGTAATAATTGCACATCAAAAATAATCTACCCTGCCAAGGCCGTACCGACTGGGGTGTCGACACCTTCCCAAGTTTACAACATTCTGTCGGTATTGTCGGTAATTTGGAAAATTTGAGACTCGGTCAGGTAAAACTGAAATTTGACTTTTAAATAAAAAAAAAAAGCCCTACTTTGGTGAGATTTTTATGGTAAAAAAGATTTTTTCATTTGCACCCCCCCCTCCTTACGCCCCCTGACATATTATAGAAATGGATTCAATCTCTAATTTTCACAACAAATCTATGACTCCCCCACCCCACCCCTCCAAATATCAACCTCTCCTAACAATTGATAACCACCCCAAATACAAAAAAAAAAAAGTAAAAAAAAAACAACAGAAAAACAAAAAATAGTAGATTAAAAAATACAGTAAAAAAAAATTAGAAACAATGCAGTAGAAACATTTGGCATTCTAGTTCTTACAAATACAAAAGATATAAAAATACTGTGTTCACTTAAAAATTATTAATGAGCATTAAATTCCCTCCCTTTATTAACCCTATTGTAATGTTAACATAACCACCACCACAAATACAATACGCAATATACAAACATTTATTGTTGCGTCTTCTCTCCCGACTATTATAACCCGCAAACACTACAGTTAGGCAGGCGAAAGTATTGACTTGAACCCAAAAGGTAATCGTTAAATAAGTTATTATGAATATATTTATTGTTTTCAGAGTATAGTTAATCATCAGTTGGTGATTTAGAATGCAATTTCCGCAACATAAGTTGTTGAATAGTATATAAAATGTATTAAATAATGCTTAACTGTTGAATAATGAAAACATTTTAAGTAACTGCGGTCGCTTTTAAAACCAAGAAATTGTTTATGACATTTTAATTACTTGAAAAATGCAATACGTAATTTTTAAGCACTTTAAAATACATGTAAAACCGGATCATTTCAATTATCAATTAAAATTCAATAACTTTTTTATTATATTTATTTTTATATTTTTTCATTAGATAGATGTTTAAAAAAATACTAAAAAATATATAAATAAATATTTAAAAAAAAAATCAAACTACCAAAATAATAATGTTAAAAAAAAAACACAATCAAGAACATTAAAATTACACATTAATTTTTTTAATTTTTAATTTTTTACTTAATATATTTTTTTTAAATCACATTTTAAATTTAAAAAACTATATTAATTTTTTACATTTTTGTAACAAAAAAAAAAAATTATTTTAACACAAAAGAGTTTGAATACTAAATTTAATAATATTTATTTAAGAACAATAAAATGTATTGAAAATATTTATTATAAGAAAAAACTTCAGTATTAAATTTAATATAAATTTATTAATTTATAAATTTATTAACTAAATTAAAAAATTCCAAATTTTCGTACAAAAACATCAACATTTGAAAACATTCAGTTGTCATTCTGTTTCGCATTGCATTCAAAGTGTTTAATGCGTCAGAGAAAAGGCGTTCACTTGATGCACTGGTAGCAGGCATACATAAAATCATTGTTGAAATACAATACAATATTGGAAACACATGTTGATTTAGATGCCAAAAGTGTAAAAACATTTTGCTCATTTACTGACAATTTTAAATAACCACTAACTTCTTTTTTTAAATCTAAACTTATTATTTTGTCACTATCATTTCCGGAATCATCATCGTCATTGTCAAATGATAATCTAAATTTTTTTGATTTGATTGTCACCTTTTTAACTGGAATTATATCACAAAGTGTCTTTGTCAAATGAAATTCCGACAAAAATTCTCTAACGCATTTAAAAAAAAAAAATTTTCTCGTACTTTTCAAAGAATTGAAAACTTTTATAATTTGGATATACTATAGCTTACAGGGCCGGCACAAATAGGTAACACGTAGAGAGGGCTGTTAAAATTTTAGCTGACTAGAAAAAAGAAAATAAAATCCTTGTTTTTTTAAATTTACCAAGTTACTGTTCTGAAAATCTACATTTGCCAACTTATTTAAAAGAGTCAAATTGCCTTAATAAATGAGCTAAAAGTTCATTGATGGGATGTCACAAACAAAACCAACCACCCCATCCCCTCACCCCTTTGCGCTGTCCTTGGTAACTTATTCAAATATAAAGATATTTGTGATTTACCATGTTTTCTTTTTGGATTTTTTATGAAATATTTTCTTGAAGCATCTTGTTAAACCTTTGGTACTGAAAATTCAAAGAAAATTATTTTGATATTTTTTATTTTTGCAGTATTATGCGGTAAAATGATCATGCATTACCAAACTTATTTAAAAATTCTAATAAAAATAATATCATGAACCCAGATTATTTATATTATATATTTATAAATTTCTTTAGTTGGACTAAAAACAAAGTCGGGTATATTTAGTTAACTAAAAACTTAGTTGACTAATTTTAGTTAGACTAAAATGTTAGTCGACTAATTTTAGTTAGACTAAAATGTTATTCGGGTAATTTTAATTAGCTAAAAAGTTAGTCGGGTAATTTTAGTTAATTAAAAAGTTAGTCAACTAATTTTAGTTAACTAAAAAGTTAGTTGACTAATTTTAGTTATGGTTTTTTTAGTTTAGTTACAATTTTTAGTTTTGGTCACAACACTAAACACAACATAAACTTTGTTTGTAATTGCATTACACCACAGTAAAATGGTGGAATATATAATAATGAGGGGAACAAGAACTAAAAATCAAATTTTTTTGTAAATACAAAAGAAAAAAACCATATAAATATTTAGAAGAGATATGATTGATAATTTACAAGAGAAGTGAATAAGTATTTACAAGAAGATAACTTTAATAGAAATTTTGAGTTTACAAGGATAAAATTTTGTGAGGACAATTTTCATAGAAATGTTTTATTTACAAGAGGTTTGCAACTTTGAAATCATAAACTCCTTTATCTCAAAAATCTGGATATTTTTTCATAATAATAAAAATAAAAATTCAAAATACTTTTAAAAAATTTAGTTTTAAATGAAATTCCAGCATTTTTTTTCTGAATCAAATTTGACTTTTATTGACTTTTCTGAATCAAATTTAACTTATATTGACTTTTAGTTACAAATTTAAAATGCAAAATAAATATTAAAACACAATTGATACTCTTTTCTCTGTTTTATTTATTTCTTATTATTTATTTTCATAATTGATAATTCTTCTAATTCTTTATTACGATACCCTATTATTTATTTTCACAATCAATACTTGCTTCCCTGATTAATTAATTCCCTTATTATTTATTTTCATAATTGATACTTGTTTTCTTCAATTGTGTAAATCATCAATAAAACCTATAAGTTAATATACTTATCTTATCTCTCTATATTTTGAAAATCTCAATTTTAATAAACTGAAAATTTTAAGTGGCGGAAACTTGTTGCAAGGGTATTGCTAAATAATAAAAAATTTGACTTTCAGACTTTTTTTTGATTCTCCAATTCTCACATAAAATTGTTTTTATAATTTTTAGCAAATATTAGAATGAAAAGACAAAAGGTTAATGAAATTCAAAAGATGATGACCAGATAGATTTGTAGAGTTAACCTAAAGAATAAGCCAAAAGCTGTTAAAGAAAAAACAGCGAATTCAGGTTTGGAAAAAATTGGTGTATTTGAATCAGGGAAAAACTTTTTAAGTGTTAAACTCTTAAAAACGACCTTGATGAAAGCCATGTAGAACTTAAATATGTATGAATATATATTTTTCTGAAAAAAAAAAGAGATATATGTATTAATACTTTATGTGCATTTAACCATGAAATTACCATGAGGGTCAAAAAATAAAACATTTTTTGAACTGTCTTATTTTTTAATAAACATAATTTTGCAATCTCCAAGATGGCTGATGAAATGAGTTTTTAACAAAACTTGATTAAATTTATTTGCGATTGTCAGGAAAAAAATTGTCTATTTTAAATAAAACGTTATATTGAAATCTAATAATTTCTTTTGCAAAAACAGGATTTGAACACTTTCTTTAGCTTCTAAAACTGAAGAAAATCCTCCAATCCTGTTTTTTTATTCTTGATAAACACTTTTTGTGACAATTAAGTCACTCATGTTGTTAAAATAGCATTTCATTCTCCATTTTTTAATGTTGTTAACTTTTTTTTTAATTACACAAGAGCCGATAACTTCTGCTACACAGAGAATAGGCCAGTAATTATCTAAAGATTTTTATTTGAAAAATGATATACATAAAAATATTTTGTATAAGAACTAAGATTTTGATATCAAGAGAAACATTGATACAAGAAATACAGAATAATATTGTTGACTATCACTTTCTTAATGATTTTGATTGCAATTATAAAAACTATGCCTAAAAATTTTTGAAAGGATAAAAAACAACCTTCACATGCTTAACTCTGACATACATTGCACCACCAAAATTACATGATCTGTTAGGGAACTATTAACTCAGTATAAATATTGAGAAGCATTTCAGTATGTGTGTTTTTCAAATTAAACAAACTATAATTTAAATCTGTATTTTATTTTATATTCACTAAAAATTATAACTGCTATGTTAAAGTAAAACTAGAAATAGTAAAAAATATATTTTATTTTTTTTGGTGCTAATATTTTCTACTTTTTAATACACATTATATAGAAATAATTTTATAATATATATTTAATAGTATACTTAAATAAAGCATATTTATTATTAGTTATTATTAGTAACAAGATTAAAGACACTTTTTGGCTGTGGTGGTGGTAGAGCACCAGTAAAAGTATTTTTAGAAAATATCTCCAATATTTTCATATTATCAATGATTAATTTTGAATATTATATATTTTTATTTAATAGAACCAGTTTAATGTATTCTACAAAAGCTAATATTTTGTTGATATAAAAAAGATAACTAAAATACTAACTCTGGCTTTCTTGTGTAGCTGGTATTTTATTGAGTTTGATTCCCACTTCTTTTTTGGACGAAATGTCTAAAGAATAAATATTCTTTTAAATAAAATTGTGCACTTTTTTTTTCAATTTAATATATGATTGGAAAAAGAATTTCAGTTGCTAAAAATTGATACTATTTAGTATCAATTTTTAACTAAATATAATATCAGTATATTATTTTTCCCAATCATATATTATTACTGATATACTATTTATTGTAAAGGCTGGGGTCAAATACATAAATTTAGATGGCAATATGCTAAGTTTTTGTATTTGTATCCTTTTTGATAAAAAAAAATTTAATGCATGTATTTGATTGAATTATAAAAAGAATGATAGATATAAACCAATCAGCAGAATACTGAGTCAGTAAATATGTAGATCAACTTTGCTTAGTAGACACTTCGGATTCACAACACTGGTAGAAAGTATTTTTAGAAAGTTGAAATATAAGTCAAAAAATTATTCATTAGTATTTTTATTTAAAAAATTTACATTAAATGTACTTGTATTTGAATTTATTGAATGTATTTGAACCCATCCTTATTTTGTTTATACATGTACACTTTGATCAAATCAAAAATAGTTAAAGCCTTTATTGTGAACAACTCATTATTGATTTATGCTTATTAATCAATTTTTGTATTATTTGTATTTTGATTAAGATGCTAATGTAATAAAAAATAAATAAATGAAAATGCTAACTTTTTGTCGATTATTACTTGAACCAATTTTGAAAAAACCTCCTTTTTTGTCTGCCATTTGCTTTATATATCGAAAAAACCAGGTCAATTTATATATCGAAAAAACCAGGTCAAATAACTGAAGTATAACAACTAAGTTTTTAAAACATTATTTGCATTTATATTAACTCAAACTAAGTATCGTGCTAACTAGCAATAAAAGAAATATTATTAAACTAACATTATAATGTAAGGAAACTACATACATAAAACTTTGTTACATTGGTAGGCATTCAATATTTACTATCCGCCGCATTCCCCGTTATCACGATTCCGAATTAGTGAATTAGTGACTGCGCTTATTCATAAATTAGACTCATTCAAGCTTTTTTCAAAATATAAAACGTTTTCTTTTTATCAAATGTTAGAATAATGAGTTTTAAAATTTAATAAGTTTACATTTTTATGCTTAATACTTATCTAATTATTTATTTTTTTAAATTCTTTTTAATGTTATCAAAGCTGGATCAAGATTTTTTCTTTCTTTTTAAGGTAATTACTTTTTTTTTTTTACTGTTTACAGGACCGACGACACGGGTTGTGAAGGGAAGGGGGGGGGGTTTCACGAGGATCTAAAAAAAAAAAAAGACTAAAGCCACCACAATCTTTTCTAGAGCCCCTATATGAGCTTTGCTTAAATTTGCGTTCATTAAATGCATTTATTGCATCAGAAATTGCATTATATTAAACGCTAGTGGCGAAGTCCGCAAGGCCTGCAGCCACAAAGAGGCCTAAAGTTATTTAAGGTCCAAATAAACTTTTTTAATTTCAAATTTTTTTATTTTCAATAAGTTATCACTGTAAAAAATAATATGCCTGCATATAATTACATCAACAATTTGTATTATTAAAGTAACTAAGAAACGCAAATTCTTCTTTAAATTGTCTCTTAAGCTTTGATAATAAGATTTACTAATACTTCATGGTGGGCAACATTACATTTATATCTGTAAAACTAAAATAAACTCCATTAATTCATAAATAATAAAATAAAATTTAATTTTATTGAGTAGCAAATGTAATGTAGTAGCGTTTGAACGCAAAGAACGGTAATTAGGCTACTTTAATATTTAAGCTATTTTATTAAAAAAATAGTTTACTATTTGCTTACTTAATAGTAAAATATAGCAAAAACATTTGCTCAAATATATAATCTTTTTTGTACTAAAAAGTGGAAAATTACCTTTTTAATTTAAATTTAATAGTTCAGTTCGTAAACTAAAGATTGACAGGTATGTTTCTATATAAATCTTGTGCACACCTGTCAATCTTTAGTTTATGAACTGAACTATTAAACTTAAATTAAAAAGTTTATTTTCACCTTTTTAGTACCAAAAAGGTTATATTTTTGAGCAAATGTTTTTGCTATATTTTATTTTCTACTTTTTAGTTTTTACAAAGAATTACGATATATCAAGGAAGTATAATAGCTGCCTGGAGGGAGAACGAAGCCGAAAATGGATTTAAATTGCGTTACAGTCTTTGTAATATAATTATTCCAGTAGCAAGTCAAAATGGCACTTTTGCAAAAATTGAACAATTTTGAAATATAATCAGTAAGCTTTGAGAGTTGTAATCGAAATAGATTAATAAAATAAAAGTTTGTTGGATATCTTTTTAACAACTATTCGATCAATCAAGAAGTTAATTAAAACAAAAACGATTAAGGTGAAGTAGTTGCTTCATGCGTACCTCAATTATGAGTATAAATATCAAAGTTTTAGACATTCTCTACTAACTATTTGAACCTTATTTTTTGCTTACTTGTTCAGCTATAGGTTAGTTACGCTCTTTAAGACTGTTCTTTCGGCCAGGAACTTATTAAATTCCTTCAGGATTTTATTTTGTGTTGGAGTATTTTTGCTGGATTTAAAAGCAAATTACTTTATTTTAAATATAAAAAACATGGCGAAAATATAAAGAGATATAAAATACATGGCAAAAATACTAGCAATTCTTATCTTGACATTTATTAATTCAATTCTAATCTAGAAATTTATTATTAGTCGTTCAAAAATCACAACAAAAAAATAACAACAAATGTTGTTTACGAATTTTTTAAACTTCCATTTTTTTATTTGCAATGCTTTAATTGCTTGAGACGTTTTGAAACAATATTATTCGTATTTTAACTTCGTTCTACCTCAAGCTACGCTATTATGAAAAATGAAAAGATGAATTTATTAAAATGAAAAAAGTATATTAAAAAAAAAAAGAATAACAAACCCACAAGCAATATTAATCAATTTTAAAAATAAAAAGAATTACTAATGAATGAAGATTATTTTAAAAAACAAACCCGCAAGCAATTTAGAAGCTGATTTCTATATTAAAGGTTAGTTTTCATGAGTATGTAGACAACAAAGTCACTTGGGGAGGAGTTCATTTCAAGTGATGGTTTTATGATTTATCCTCCCAGTAATTGCCTTGTGGAGGCCACCCGCAAAGACAAGTTCAGCTCCCAGCCAAGTGGAGGTCGGAAGTGAGTTTGGGAAGAACGAAGATATGTTTGAGTGAAAGGCAGAAGTAGTCGTGTTAAAAAGATAGCATAGAGAAAGCGGACAGAATTGCAAAACGTACTGTTAGTTAGGTTGACCTAACAAGTGCGCCGACAAAGTTGTGATTGGGTCTTGGATATGTGGCCTCCACAAGGCAATTAGCTGGCGGAGGCTGAACTGGTATTGCGGTTTATCAAGTGAAAGAAAAGATTATAAAAAATGTAATTAACAAAAGTTTTTTTTTAAAAACTTTCAAAACGAAGGTTAAAGATGTGGACAATATTTTAGATTTGATCAAACTGTGAAGGGGCTTCCATGAATTACATCACGCTCTAAAGGAAGGAAGGGGTAGGTTAGTGGATTTGTGATGACTCATAATTGAACGTAAATTAACTTATATATATATATATATATATATATATATATATATATATATATATATATATATATATATATATATATATATATATATATATATATATATACAGTGCCGTAGGAAGGTTTTTAAATTTTTAAAATAACTTATAAACAACAAGACCATTTAAATTTTTTTACTTTTATATGCATGACGAGAAGATTCTTAAAAAAAAAAATTATTGTGATAGGAGAATGGAAACAAGAAACCCTAAAATCTTAGCCCCTCTACTCCAAACGTTAGAGCAACAAGTTGATGAAATATTTTTTGTACTATTTTCATTCATATATATATATATATATATATATATATATATATATAATATATATATATATATATATATATATATATATATATATATATATATATATATATATATATACACATCAACCAGTACAAATCTCTTAGAATCTGCTAACGATTGGAACGCTGCACTCGATAACCATCAAATAACGGATGTTGTCTATATTGATTTCCAAAAAGCGTTTGACTCTGTCTCGCATACCAAACTATTAGTAAAACTTGCATCCTATAACATAAAAGGTAATCTTTTAAATTGGATTTACGCTTTTCTCACCGATAGATATCAACAAGTCAAGGTCGGTAATTCTATATCAAACTCTATATGCATTGTTAGTGGAGTTCCACGGGGTAGTGTGTTAGGTCCCACATTGTTTTTATTATATGTTAATGATTTAACCGCTATAGCTAATAATCTGGAATAATGTGTAAAACTTTACGCAGATGATATAAAGTTATATAGTTCGTACCGTGATATGGATCTAAGCGAAGATTTAGTTGTTGCTTTAAATAGACTTTTACAATGGGCAGAAACTTGGCAACTAGCAATTGCTTGTAGTAAGTGTTTTGCACTTAGAATAGCACCTCCCTCATAATGCAAAGGTATAAAGGTTAACTATAAATTAGGTGAATATTCTTTGGCTCGGTCTTCAAACCCAAAAAATCTAGGAGTAACAATGGACTGTAACCTTAATTATAAAAAACATATTTTTAACGTCATCCATCAAGCTAGCTCTAGAGCATATTTAATTTTGAAATGTTTTAAAACACGTGACCCTTGTATCCTAGTTAGAGCTTTCACTACCTATATACGACCAATTTTAGAATATTGTTCTCCAGTATGGTCGCCACACCAAATTGGATTGATTAAATCAGTTGAAATTGTCCAACGAAAATTTACAACAAAAATAAGGAGCCTCAGAAATCTTTCCTATCATAATTGATTACAGTTGCTTGGTATCGAATCACTCGAAGTTCGGCGCCTTAAAAACGACTTAGTAACTTGCTTTAAAATTTTTCGTAAACTTGTCTGTACTGATCAATCTATGTTCTTTGCGATTGACAATAATAGCCAAACCCGGGGTCATATTTATAAAATAAGCAAACAATCTTGTCGCTAGGATTTAAGAAAATATAGCTTTTCTTACGGAGTTGTTGACATGTGGAACAAAATGACCTCGGAGGCTGTAAATGCAAATAACATTTTAACGTTCAAAAATAAAGTTGAATCTTTTGACTTTAACAAATATCTATTGTAAAAGGAACAACTATTTGTTTCTTTATAGTTTTGTTATTTTTCTTTTCGTAGTGATATTTTTAAATTTCTTTGGGCACGTTGTTAGTGTTCATCTTTGTATGGGCCTTCGTGTCCTTTAGAACATGTATTTATACTTTATTCTAATAAATATCAATCAATCAATCAATTCTTTATAAGAAATGCTTAGAAATAGAAACAACTCAAGAAGAAATAATTAGTGATGAGAATGAAAATGAAACATCTGATTCCATCCCTGATGATGAAAACCACATTGAAGAATGCTGGAATGAGGAAAGTATTAGTCCTGTTTCACAGGAAACCCAATTTAATGAGGACCATAGCATTATTATATCGAAAGTTCGTAAAATAGTCAAACTTTTTAGAAAATCTCCACTTAAAAACGATTCCCTTCAAAATATTTGTAGAACAGATTTAGGAAAATAACTTAAGCCTATTTTGGATACTAAAACAAGATGGAATTCTATAATAAGTATGTTAAAACGATTCTTAAAGTTAAAAATGTTATTGCAAAAGCTCTTGCTGATATATCTAGAACAGATTCAATTTTAAAAGAAGAAATAAAATACATTTCTGATATTGTTCAGGCTCTACATGTTGTAGAGTTAAGTGTTATGGAACTAGGAAAAAGAAACTGTGATCTGATAAAATCTGATAAAATTATTTTGTTTTTACTACAAAACCTTAAAGAACAAAATACTAACATTGGTCAAAATTTATTTACTGTTGTCTCGGAGAGAATTGTCGAAAAAATAAATTGTAATATTGCTGGTTTACTGTGCTTTTTAAATAACCCAGCTGACTATAAATCAGAATTTCCAGATAATCTTTTGAAATACCCATATAAA